ATGGTATTGGGATGAAGGAGCATTACGGAATTCATGATATTTTGAAATGTTATGCAATGCTTTAACGAACTTTATATTAAGTTGTAATGGATTTTGTATGATGATATGATGTAAATTATATTTTTATGACATGCCCTAATGCTGAAACATTGAGTAGGAGAATGTCTAATTGGTATGGAAAGAGGAAAAATGAAATAAAATTCAAGAAAGATGGAATTAAGGGATAAAAATACCCTAAATGAGGTTAATCTTGTGGCACATAAAATAATAAGAAAATGATGGAATCTGGACCCGAGATTTTGCAAGCATATAGATCTCATTTTTAGCTTTAAATCAAGTGATAAACCATCAAATTTGGAGTTTTTTGCTAAGAGTTATGCTCTTCCAAAGTTGAACTAAAATACTAGAAATTCAAAATTTGACCATATGAACAGGGCAATTTGTTGAATTTTCTAGTGCTATTCTAGATGGAATTGAAGACAATGAACATTTTTTCTCTAAAGAAATCTTAGCAAGCTTCAAGGAAAAATTAGAACCACCTCATTTTGATTTTTTGAGAATTAGTTATGAATTTTCAAAGTTGACCTAAATTCGAATGAACAGTGCACGGACAGATTAAAAAGGAAAGTTTTGAAATTGAAACTTTTCACTCAAAAATGTTGGGAAATGCATTATAATGGTTCCAATTGATGCATAATATGGTAATAAAGGAGGTGTTACATCTTGCCCCATTGCTTTAATATTTTTTCAAGAGAAAGTCCTTATAAAGACATGTTAGGGAAGGCTTAGAGGCCTAAATTACTCCTTGACTTGTAGCATCTCCTAAGTTTGGTTTGTGTTAAATTAATGTATATTGCCACATTAGAGCTCATTGACATACTCTAATTATTCTTGCATATTAAATGAACTTGTTTATACCTATGATTAATTGCTCCTGGAACGTGTGCTAGTAATTGGCTAGAAGCCAATAAGTTGTGTATGTGAATTTGTCGATCCATATACTTTTTAAAATTGTGATAAGATATGTGAGTGAGATGTTAATCAAAATTGACCTTGTTTAGCATAATAATAGATGGAATATTGATTATGGACTTAATGTTGAAATGTTATATTATGGGTTTCAAATTGTCCAAAGACCAATGATTGAGAAATTTGTTTTTTCATCAAAGTGTAGTCTTTTATAACCGTGTTAGAGTAGATTTGTGTGCTTCTCTAACATGGTTTTGTATGTAACTATTTTATAAAAATTCTTCTATCTATGATACACCTTTGAGGTACTTTTTGTTTCTTTTCTATCATAGATAAGTTTCTACAATTCGAATTTATTCTTTTACAATCATGGTAGTGTTTGGACTTTTTTTATTTAATTTAACCTACCATGATTATGTCTTCAATTGTTGGTTAAATCGCTTTCTACTATCGTAGAATTTTTTTATCATTTTTTTAATTACTTTTGTACTATAGTAGTCCTTTGAAATGATTTCAAATTGTTGAGTTTCTGGTATTATAAGAAGAATGTTACAAGGACACCTCACCAGCTTGATAATTATTGCCTTCTCAATTACACTTCAATGTTTAGCCTGTATGAAATGCTCATTAATGGGAAAACTTAGCTGATAAAATTATGCACAGCCATTGTTGCACAAACTATGCAAATTTGTGTTTGAAACTTGAATTTGGACATATCTCTTAAGATTGCAAACTTACTTTTTCAAACCCCAAAGGTTCTTCTCAATTTCAAGTACTTAATATTAAGTATTTAAATTTTTATAGTAGTGCTTGAACTTGAATGATAATAATTGAAGGCCTCACCATTATTTCTAACTTGGTTCATAGATAAATTCAAGAAAGTGATAGTGCTCACATTTGTACAAGCCTCAAACTTGAATGATAAGAAACTGCATTCATCAAAACCAAAACTAGAGTTCTTGTGTAGATGCTACTTAAACAAAAAGCTTAGAACTCAAAGGGGAAAAGAGGAAAGTCATATGGTAGGTCATTGTACCATTCTAACATAGAACCTCTCATGACATAGTAGACAAAAGCCAATAATTTATCTCCCACACGTAAGGCAGAGAAAGACAATTCCTATTCTTGCCCTTCTTAGGAGGAACAATCAGAGCAATAGAAAGGGATATGGATCTTCCCATGTTATGTCATTCTCAAATGAGAATGGGACTATGAAAAAAAATTAAGGAGATACATATTCATCTAAATCAAATAAAAAACAATTTCATAGCATTTCCCAAAAATCATGTATAACAATTTCAAAACATTTCTCAAAAAATCCAGAAGTCACACCTACATTTTACATAAACAAGAATCACAAACAAGGAATTGATAACTAAGTCAAAACAAAGGCCCAGAAGCAAAATAGAGTAGCTGAAGAACAAAGGCCTAGATCTAATACCAGAATTAAGCAAAGGTAAAAGTGAAATCGACTAAAGATGAAGAATAGAGGCCTAGATCTAGTCGAAGCACAAGAGCTCTAGTTTCATGGGTTATTGTTCCAAGTTTGAATAGAAAAGTGACCTTTAGGTTAGCTTTCCTTACGCTTCTCTGATATCACTGACCAAGCTAGGAAGAACTAGAGAAGAAGTAGAGCAAAGCAAGTTGTAACACAACACACCAAATTGAGCAACACATAAACCCAACCTTGCCACTTGCACCTTGCATGTACCAAATTAGCCAGAAAAAGGGAGACGATGGTGCAAAGTAGGTTGGAGAAAAGGGGGAGACCATGTGACACCAGAGAAAGGGAGAAGAGCTTAGGAGAAGAGAAAAAATAGCGATGTTCAAGCGTGAGAGAGAAGAGAGAGAAAGGAAAATTTGGTAGGTGATAATTTTGAACAAGCATTAAATGCTCTTTCAACGATAAATGAGCTTGCTAAATGCTCAAACATTGCTAATCTGAGCATTCTATCACACTGGATTTTTCTTTCAAAAATTGGTTGACAAAAAGGCCACTCAAACTGCCTATAAACTCCAAATAAGCTTCAAACCTGCATTCCATAGACTCCTAGGCATGTTTCCTCCTTTAAGTAGCAATCCAAACAGGTCTTAAGTTTCTTTCCTCAATAATACCCTTTATATAATTTAGTTACTTTTTTTTTTTAAACTTCGGTATCAGAATAAAAAGAACTTCTTCTACAAAATCTACTCATGCCCTTTCTATCTTGAAGGAAATATAGAATAAAAGGAAAAGGAAAGTGGATTTGAATTAATGCTAGGAATTAATTGTAATTGTTCCCAAAATTGAAAAGGGGGAGGCGTGGCAAAGGAACTAATAAGATGGGGTCTTCGGTTGTAAATTATGTCGAAAGTGAAAAAAGGAGATTGAACTTATTCACCCTCAGAACAACTTCAACTTCTTTATTTTGAAGAAATAGATATCATTTCATAGTCTAAACGAGTTTTGAAACATGCTGCATATGAGTAAATACTTCCCACCATGCAACATTTTGGTAAATTTTTCTAGTGTTCATAGTAAATTGATAAAAGTGCCACCAACCTCAATGGATTTAGGGCATTTTAATTTTTATTTCATTTCTTATTTCAAAATGCCTAAACAAAAATTTTGGGTGAACTATCAATGCTAATGATTATCGAAAATACTTCCTTCAATCCTTATTATAAGAATTAGATAATTAATTTATAAGTATTAAGTCAGTTAAATTTGTTATTGGTAATAAATAGGTATTGTCTTCTTTAAAATATCTTTATTACTCATATGCATTGGAACTATCTTTCATATGGAACCTTTAATATGTGCCATCACCATAGAAACTACTTTGAAAAGATATAAGAACTAGATAATTAATTTATAAGTATTAAGTCAGTTAAATTTGTTATTGGTAATAAATAGGTATTGTCTTCTTTAAAATATCTTTATTACTCATATGCATTGGAACTATCTTTCATATGGAACCTTTAATATGTGCCATCACCATAGAAACTACTTTGAAAAAATAAATAAATATGAGAGCCTAATTGAATTGACTAGAATATTTAGAACCAAATTAAATTTTCAACTAACTCATATATTAAAAACTAGAGTTAGTATTTAATTTTAAAATGAAAATACGTTTTAATTATAAAAAAAACATAAGAGATTAACCCCTGTTTAGATAGTGAGAAAATGAGGAATGAAAGAAAATTAGAAAGAAAAATGAGGGGAAAAATGAGTTTTCCTTGTTTGGATGAATGAATAAGAGTGGGGGAAGAAAAAAGCGGGAGGAAAAAATAAGATGTAAAACCCATGTCATTTTCGTCTAAATTTGCAATTTTAATTGGGCATCTTTGATTGTAAATGCCTTGTTGTTCCAACAATAACATTACCTATCACGTCTGGCGGAAGTTGTAAATTTGAGTTTAGTATTAATATATATTGTGTGCGTACATATATCTAATTATATTAAGTAGAAAAATTTTGCGGTATTTGATCGTTATGGGTCTCCCACATTTGCCCCTTTTATTTCCCTTTTTTGTATCTATAAATGTTTATTTAACTTTTTTGCGTTCCTTCCGCCGTTTTCTAATTTATTTTATAAAATGTTCTCTTTTTATGAAATTTATTTTACTAAATTTTCGCTTGGTTTTAACTAATAACTGTCAAGTATTGTGGCAATTTTTTTTTATATACCGCTTCTGCTGTGCCAGCAGCCCCCCTGCAATTTTGAAACCTCACACGGAGCATATTCAATAGAACCATGTAGGCCAGCATTCAAACCAATTCAGCCATATGAATGTAACCAAAACCAAAAATTTACATTATTATATACATCTTAATGAACCAAAACCAACTATCATATTAAAAAAAACTTGTGTTTAAGACAAGTAAAAATTCTGGGCAAGTACAAAATGTGAACCAATTCCAAAATTAGCCAATTGCCAAAGTTGTTTGATGTCAAAAACTAACCAACAACAAAAAATGAACTAAAACCAAAATTGAAACCAAAGTTGTACATGCAATGTCTTGTACCTCCCTATCTATTTTGTACCCACTGACGGAATAAGGCTATTGCCAACTCTTCAATGATTTCTTCCATCTGAGCGGATGAATACACTACGCAATATGTGTCGGCAAAGTACTGTATGCAACCACAAATTATGACATAAGTTAGATATAAATGTAAAACTACAGTAAGTACAATTCTTAAATATATAAATTGAACTTTAACAAATGCATATTACCTGTATAGGGATTGTGTCAGCATTGTGCATAATTATCTCCTTTATGAATTTCATCACGCAATATCCACAATCGGAGCTTTTTTTGGGCTGACGTGGGCACTGTAAAGAATGGCAAAGGAAATAATATTAGTTAATCAAATAAATAAACCATATTTAGTAGAATAGTAAATAATGGTAATAAATACCTTCACTTTCTTCCACGGGAAGGTATCGTCAAACTGGCCATTTTTTACTAAGGGGCAGGGTAAGGCTTGATTTGTGTGGTATAGCCACAATGCCCTGAGAAGAAAATAAAATAAAATATTAATGATTGTCAAAAATTAGATTGAAGCAAGAAATTAAATTAAATTTAAATAATAGATATAAATGTTACTTATTGAATAATGAAACCATAAATTGTCGATTGGTTGGATCCTCATGAAGAGAATCGAGATACCAAATCCTCGGCTTTATGGAATTGACCACAATTAGCATCCAGTGTCCCTTAAATATAAGAAAGACAATCAGAACAATTACAAAATATTTTGAAAATAAAAGAATTTAAGAAAGTTCAGTATACTACGTACCCTTGACTGTAAGGTGCCAAAAACAAAGTCTCAGGCGTTGCTGCCTAAGAAATGAAGATATCCACCAAGTCTCCGGATAAGTCTTTCTTCTTCATATCAGGTCCGTGGCCAGCAAAAGTGTGGGAGCTGACAATCTTGAACTTGTCATCAAGACCACTGGGGACTATAAAGTTCTTAAAAAGATACCTAAATCAACAAAGATATCAATAGGATAAATGCTCAAGTACTTAAATATTTAGTTAAGGTTTTAACAAATACCTGATATAAAAGTTACAGGCATTTGTGCCGGCCATTCCATGCGTTAGAATTTCTTTCAATACTTCATTTGTGACGTACTCTGACGTGGGTCGACCATAGACCTCTAGCTTAAACTCTAGGGGAATCATGAAATCCTCACCACGTTCTAATCTGGCCCCAACTGCATATTCCTCAAGACATATTCAGAATCTTGATGATACCGCTTGAATAGGCTTAGAGGGCTGCTTCTGTGGTGATGATAATGAGTGATCGCCCAATAGGCTCTTCTTCCCCTTAGACTGACAAACAGACTGTTAGTAATTAAAACAAAGTTTATCAACTGAATGTGTAGACCTATACATATATAGCTTTAAAGGATGTCCTAACGTAAGAAGGTGGCCAGGCCAAGCGACAAAGCTACCCACTGCTTGAGCCACTGTCTCTGCATCTGGGGTGGGCATCGGGAGGGCATAATTAGCATCAATAGCAGTGTTCAACTGCACCCTCACATGATCAACAGGGAGAGGCACATTATGAATCATACTCTCTCCTGGTAAATTGAACATGCGGCCCATTGCAACAGTGTGGTGTTTAGGGCTATCCACCATACACTGAACGTCTGCTTCACCCTGATTTAACATGGGAGACAAGTTAGCTAGATATATAAATAATTGAATGTAATTGTATAAACACAAGTATTATACCTCAAGTAGCAAAGGGAATGAGCAGCTGTCTTTGCCACTTGGGCTGAGATTTGGAGCCAGCTGTGGTGCTTGATTCTTGATCAACTGCTCGATTAGGAACGCTTACGCTTTAACTTACTCTTTTAACCAGCGTGTTTCTTCCTTCAGCTCCATGAACTCAGTAGAGGAAGGCGTTCACGATGAAGAGGGCTTTTGTCAATACCCAAAGTAATCCCTCTTAGTGACTCCATAACAGATGCCTCTAAGAAGACCAGGATGGTCGGAGTCCCCAGTGCCCTCCTCAATATATCCTGGTCATCTGCAGAATATGCCCCCTGCAAAACTTCCTGGGACAAACTCTTCTGCGCAACAAACATTGACATAGTTATTCATACTTAAAGATATTTAACAATAACGTGAGGATTATTTAGTTTAGAATAATACTCACCATCTTGTCTACAACCTCCTTAACATGAGGATTATCAATTTGGCCATCTTTATTTTGCCTGGCCAATGCCCACAACATCTGACGGGATACAATGACATTTGATCCCTCCTTCTGAGAAACCTCGTGCTCGAGGCCCGCATAACCCAAGCGCCCCTTTCGGTAGGGAAATTCATTCTTCTTTATCATTTCCTTATTTTGGGCACTTAATTCCTGTAAAAACAAAGTAGATTCATAATTAAACAGTGTATAGATTAAACAAAATGGACTATAATATCGAAAAGAGCGAGGATTATTACTCGAAATTGACTATCACGACGTGACGTCACAAAAATAGCCCAATCCTCTGGTTTGACCAAGTCCCGTACCAAGCTAGGAACCTCAGACTTGTCAGTTGTGAAAGGATCCTTCAAGTACATGTGTGTCACAAAGTATCGAAAAGAGCGCAGAGCCCTCCCAGCCTTACCCTCCACAAACTTCTTCCTACTCTCATCTATATCAAATGCAGACTGCAAAACATATAAAACAACACATTTGTGTCAAGCAGCTTGTAAGAAAACAAAATTTGAGTTGTTATAATATATTATCGATACATCTGTCCAAATAGCGTCTCGCACTGAACGATCAACCCTCCTCCAGTGTTGCATTGTAATGGCAACAATGCTTCGTGCCACTGCCCTAATGTAGTTGATAAATTTATTTGAGCGTACAGCTTGTCCTTTCTTATTCCACTGTACGAAAAATCTCTTTCCTTCTGTTCGAGCTTTCATGACCTCTTGCATGACACAAACGCCCCTCTGTATACGTGCTGCCTCATCTTGCAACTGTCTCTCCTGTCAGAGACATCTCTCAGCTAAGATGGATTATCAGTGCTAGATCTGCTATCGTCTGCCATCTGTAATGAAATTCAATTAAACAAAATGAATCAAAACCCATTAAATGAAAATAAAGTCATTAATGACGAAATTAACTTGAACAAAATTAAAACAAATAAAAGAATCAAAGAAAATAATAACAGAATTTACATGCATGTTTAAGTAGATCTTTTTCTTTTTCTACTCTTAGGTTTTTGCATATTCTTCTTGGTTTGAATTGTTTTGATCTTCTTACAAAACACTTTCCCCCTCTTTGAAATCCATATTCCGTAGTTGTAATCGTGCCTGACGTACATGGATTGATCTCATTTAAATGAGAATCAAGTGATGTCCTTTGAAATGGATCATCTTCAACTGCATCGTCTTCATACCTCGTCTCTTCAATATTCATTTTCTTAGTCAACAAAACAATAGACCATCCTTTAGTAGTCAGGTCAGGGACATAAAACACTTGTGTAGCCTGAGATGCCAAAATGAATGGCTCTTCCTTGTATCCTTCCTTATTCAAATTCAATTATATGAACCCTAAGTCATCAATCCTTAATGCATTATTATTATCCACCCACTTGCAACCAAATACAAGAACTCTAAATTCAATGTAATCCAACTCCCAAATATCCTCAATCACTCCAAAGTATGACATACGTTCATAGATAGGATTTTTATCTTTGGCACTTGATATATGTATGGTATTAGCTACAAGAGTTACGCCACTATTTTGCTGTTTACCCCAGTCATCTTGCTCTTTAGTATAGAAAGTGAACCTTTTAATAAGGTAGCTTGTGAAAGAAATCACATGTTTGCTCGGTCCATCTGCCAACAACTTTAATTTCTTTGAAACAGAATTAGGATCACTATTATACTTGCCATGCACCTGCTTTCTCAACCATACTGTAAATTGTTTATTGTGTGTTTTGGTGTACCAATTTTCAAGTTTATTGGGATTATCCCTCTTTAGCTCATCAATATGCTCATCCACATAGTCCTCAATCTTTTCAGAGTTGTGCAATACATATAGATGTGCTTGCTCCTATTGTTGGTTTGAAATAGTTACAACTTTCTTTCCCATAATCCCTTCTCCATTTGTCCTTCCCTCATGACGAGACATTGGAACCCCAATATTACTTGCATTTTTTAAGTAATGGGTACAAAATTCAGTGGTCTCTTCACAAATATATCATTCTACGATACAACCCTCTAACCGACTTTGATTTTTCACATACCCTTTCAATATTTTCATACAACACTCAACTGGGTACATTTATCTTAAATACACTAGGCCACACAGTTGGACCTCTCTAACTAAGTGGATAGTTAAATGGACCATGATGTCAAAAAAAGGCCGGAGGAAAATACATTTCAAGTTCGCATAACGTAACGATGATTTGGGTTTGCAATCTTGGCAATTTACTAGGATTATATCACTTTACTGCAAAGAGACTTAAAGAAGAAACATAACTTCGTGATTGTAACTCACACCTTATCAGGTAAAATAGCCCGTATTGACATTGGAATAAAGTTTTCTATTAAGACATGGCAGTCATGAGATTTTAAACCTTTTAACTTCAAATCCTTTATTGAAACAAGGTTACTAATATTAGAAGAGTAACCTTCCAGCACTTTTACTGAAGCAAGAAACTCACAAAAGCTACTTTTCTCTTTTCTAGAAAGCGTGTGAGCTGCCAGATGAAGAAATGTACGAGTTCCCTTATCCTCTGGTGCCAATTCCTCCCTTATCCCCATTTCAACCATGTCTAGCCTGGAATTTTATGCCATCTTTAGTCTTCCCAAGAATATGGAGTAATGTGCCAAACAGACTTTCACATGTGTTTTTCTCAATATGCAAAGCATTAAGAAAATGTCTCACATTTAGGGTTATCCAATACGGCAGTATAAAGAAAATAGACCTCTTATTCCACCCACTTGTCCCAACATGCTTCGCAAAAGGTTTTTCAAATTCACAATCTATATCTTTCACCTTTTGAAATACATCCTCCCTAATCAACGGTGCAGGTGCCTTACCTTCTTCTGAATTCCCATTGAAATATTTTTTGAATCGCCGGTAAGGATGATCACCATGCAACCATCTACGATGTACCATATATGAATTTTTTATTCCATGTTTCAGCCTTATGGAATCTATGCTCTCTTCACAAATAGAACAACCAAGTTGCCCTTTAATGCTATACCTTGAGATATTACCATACGCAGGAAAGTCGTTAATTATGCCAAATAACTGAAGGGAATTGAAAAAGACGCAATGGAAAATAAATTTAAAATTTCAATCCCTTGCCCGGATCTACCGATCGTGTTTAAGCCAAGTAGTAAGAAGCATTACCTTTGATGTTCGATTTCTTGGTGGCTCGGTGATTCCGCCGTTCAGGATGCCTCTGCTCGCCTCCTTTGTCGCTCGAAGTCGACAACTCCGGTCGGCTTCCTCTACCGGTATCCACACGAACAGCTCTCCAGTCACGAACGGCGTGCTAGCGCCTCTTTGTCCGTCTAGGGTTTTTCAAAGAGTCCATCCTCCTTCTCTATTTTGGCCGTCTCTTATCTGCAAGTGTTTTCACTCTCTCACTCAAAACCCTAGCTCCCAATATCAAATATATAGGATGCTATAGGTATTATGAATGATATTTAATTTCGAAATTAATCCTAAATTAATTCTGAAATTAATACAATATCAAATATTGTCTAATCAGATAAGAGAACAATTAAATAAATATAGTTTATATTAAATCTGTCTCACAGATTTAATTCAAAATAAAGATATGACGGAATTAATTTATATAGATTTAATTTAACCTTATAAATTAAATCTAACAATTAATATCTCTCCTATTTATATAATATGTATATATATACACGAATTTATATATATATACACGTCTACCCTATATTATTCATTAAATCTGGACATATCTTAGATTTAATGAATCTGGACATCATAACTCGTGTTGGGCTATTTTGTGTGCGACCCTGTAGGCCCATATGAAGTTGGCAGTGGGCCATTAACTATAATGACTCACAAGTCGTAAGCGGTCTCTAGCAAGACATCACGACTACCCAAATCATATGAGGATCGTTGAACGATGTAACCTTTCATACAAACATATCACGTCCCTTTTGTCACACAACATTTTGGTCATGGATGAGGCATGGAGAACGTCATCCTCCTATTCATGACCGTTACTTTCTCGATCCCTGAGCAGTATGAGTATAGAAACGGAACTACCTTTCCATTATAGTATGGCCATACATTTCTCAGACTCACTCATTAAGGGGCCCAGTAATATCTCTCTATGAATGTGAGGGACAAGTTCCATCTTGACCATTCACATTCCTCCGCATGAAAAACCACTAAGCCTGAACATAGTCTTTATGATCACTCGATCAAAAGTGACTTTTGACTAGGTCAAAGCTAAGCATTTCTCATGTAGGAATCCATGATGATCTCAGGTCAAAGGGCACAGTGACATGGTTTGTATATGAGAGAAGCTTATGACTTAACCCATGTAGCTCTCTGATAGCAGGTCGGTCCAACACCTTGTACTCTTACATGTGCCTATGACTTTAATTTATATCTCTATATATCTTTAAAGTCATACTGGTCTTATTTCATCTCTGCTCCCACATAG